AACGCGGATCGACTGCCACAGGACTTGACCGTCGTCCCAGACACCCGTTTCTGGTGTGGCCAAATGCCATGCGCCGCGGGTCTGCATGTCGCCTGCCTACTCACTCGGACTAAACGAATTTCGACCTGGCCGGAGCGACATGCAGACCCCCGCTGAACAAACGTACCGCTTTCTTATCTGGCCTGCTCCCTGTACATCGGGAGAGCAGGGATGACCACATCAAGCTGTCTCGTCCGGGGTCCTTTTGCTGTAAGCTCGTGCCACTGTGTGCTCGACGCGAGAACCTCTCCAACGGTCCAACCAGTGGGAGAGGTTTTGCATATCGCTCCAGGTAGATTCATGTCGGCAGGGATAGTCACATAGAGCGAATGCGACGGCGGGTTTGTCGAGACATATAACGACTGCGAGCCCTCTCAAACTCTTTCCAGGTTTTCCCCCCTTCAGCCCGCGTTTTGTGTTTCACGACCTTTACAGTTGCCCTTTGTCGAGCAATAGGTCCAGCTGTGGAGAAAGCATCCGACAATCCCACCATGACCGAAGAAAAGGTAGCACCGGCCTCGGCCGTGGCCCCGGCTACCCGCGTCGACAGCGCCGAGCCCCGCCCCTCCTACACCGGCAGCGTCACCGTCCACCCCGATGAGAAGGGCGCAATGGGCGGCGAATGGACGGAACCCATCGTCGATACGAAGGTACCGGAGACTGAGGAGCACAAGGAGGAGGATCTCTACCGCCCGCTGAAGATGGATGAGAATATTCCTCATGAGGAGAACATCCTGACCGTTCGAGCTATTGTTGTTGGCTGCATTTTGGGATCCTTGGTGAATGCATCCAACTTGTATCTTGGCTTGGTAAGTTCATTCCTCTTTCTGGGCATGAAGTGGTCCTTCCCGTAGCCCTAGACTGGCCGAGAGATCACCATCGTGAACTTTGACAACCGAAATTCGGCGATATTTCTACAATTGTGAATCGTTCTGACATCAAATTGCTTTGAAGAAAACCGGCTTCACGTTTGTGGCCTCGATGTTTGGTGCCATTTTTGGATACGGAATCTTGAAGATGCTTTCGACAACGAACATTCCAATCCTCGGTGGAACCTTTGGCCCTCAAGAGAACTCCATTGTTCAAGTGAGTATGACCTGAATCAATAATGAGTGGTGGGAACGCAAAACCTAACATACTTAGGCTGCTGCCACCGGTGCCGGAGGTATCGCAGGTATCTTCGTTGCAGGTATCCCTGCCATGTACAGGCTCGATCTCATGCCTAGCACGCCGGCTGGTGATATTGGCAAGATCTTCACCTTGACTCTCTGCTGCTCCTTCTTCGGCCTGTTCTTCGTTACGCCGCTGCGCAAGTTTTTCATCATTCGCACTGCCCGCGAGCTCAAGCTTATGTTCCCGACCTCGACCGCCACGGCCCTGACTATTCGATCCATGCACGCTGGTGTCAATGGCGCCCGCGAGGCCGCTATTAAGCTCAAGGCCTTGGGAATTGCCTTTGGAGTCTGTATCGCGCACCGCGTGGCATCATACTACGCCATCGGAATTCTCTACGACTGGCACAGTAAGTCAATGCTTTCATCAAACGAGATCATTTTTAGACTGACCTTCTCTTAGTCATGTCATGGATTCACATCTGGTCTGGCTACACGAGCTCTGCTATGAACATCGAATCATGGGGATGGTGAGTGAAAATTGAGACTGGCGGTCATGTCAGTGGTGATGTTTGGCTGACACCGGACCGCAGGTACTTTGAGTGGACGACCGCTTTCATTGGCTCCGGCATGCTTATTGGCATGAACTCTGCCTGCTCCATGATGGGAGGAGCCGTTCTTGCCTGGGGAGTCATCGGACCCGTCCTGGTTCATTGTAAGCCTCTCGGAGCCTCTAGATACTCTCACTTGCCAGATATTAACAGTCATCAACAGACGGCGAATGCATCGGTATCCAGGCCTCCGAAGACCCCAACTGGTCCGGTCTCTACTCCTTCACCTCCCTGAGAAACATCGGTCAAGGCCCGCCATCCCCCCGTTACTGGCTGCTGGTGAGTCTATCCTCGGTTCCCTCACGAGACGAACCATGATCTAACCTTACTTAGTGGCCCGGTGTCATGATCATGGTCTGCTCTTCCATGGGTGAGCTTATCGTCCACTGGAAGATCATCTACTTCGGTTTCGCCGCCGGCTGGAGGTCAATCTGCCTCTCCATCCACGAGACCGCGATGAAGAAGGGCAAGCGCATCGAATTCTTCGCTAAGTACGCAGAGGCGGAAGAGAAGCGCGAGGCTGATGCTGTCGAGGACCCCGCGACTCCCGAGCAACAGGTCAAGACCTGGATCTGGGTTGTCGGTCTCTTCGCGTCCATCATCCTGGCCTGCATCGTCATGGGTCTGCAATGGCAGGTCAACGTTGGTGTCACCATTCTTGCCTTGGTCCTTGCCTTCCTGTTCTCCTTCCTCGCCATCCAGATCGGTGGTGTCACTGATCAGACGCCCCTTACTGCTGCTGCCAAAGCCGCTCAGCTTGTCATCGGTGGTACCACCACCGGCGCCGGATACACCGTCCAACACGCCCAGAAGATCAACCTCATCTCCGCCGGTCTCGCCGCCGGTGCTGCTGACGTTGCTACGGCTCTGACGTCCGATTTCCGTACCGGTTTCTTGCTCGGCACCCCTCCCAACAAGCAGTTCATCGCCCAGGCCATCGGAACCTTCGTCTCCGTCTGGCTCGCGCCCGGCCTGTTCGTTCTGTTTACCACTGCCTACCCTTGCATTACGGACGCCGAGGCCGAGCACTGCCCCTTCCTGGTTCCTTCCGTCAGTGCCTGGGCTGCCGTGGCCGAGGTTGTCACCAGCCCCAACGTCCCCATCCCTCGCTCTTCCGGCATCTTCGCCATTTGCCTCGGTATCTTCTCCATTCTCCAGGTCATCTTCCGTCACTACTACCTGGTTGGACCCCGCGAGAAGTACCAGCAGTGGCTTCCTAACTGGGGTGCCATTGCCCTGTCTTTCGTCATTCCTGGTCCCGTCTTCGTCAACGCCGCCTTTGTCGGTGCCATTATTGCCTTCATCTGGCGCCGTTGGAAGCCTGCTTCCTTCGAAATTGTAAGTGCTGATCCGGCTATGTCACGTTGTTCCTTGGAACCAGAAACTAATTATTTGCTAGGCCTGCTATGCTATTGCCGCGGGTATGATCGCTGGAGAGGGTATGGGTGGTGTTATCGGCGCTGCCCTTCAACTCGGCAATGTCTCTAGTGACAGATATGGTACAGGAGGTCTGGCCTGCCCCGATAATGCTTGTTAAACTGGCAAAAGTTGTGGGAAGCAAGTATAGTCTCTGTCGGGTGTGGGACGAGTATGAAGGTCGGAGGCCGTCACCTTTCCAAAGGTGCCTGGTCTTCAATCCGGTCCTTGATATCGGTCGATCATTGAGCCGCTCTGGCTGAGCTGATGGTAGCCGAGTCCGAGGCCAGCTTCACTCCCATCATCCAGAGCTGCACTGCCCTCTACAAATATGATTGAAGATGTTAGCCATGAGTTATAATATTGTAATACAAAGATGAACCCCTCGAGGTCATGATCATACGCAAAAACCGCTGTAGTAAGACCATGAAACAAGGTGTTTCCTCATTCCGACACAACATAGCCCTCCGTCCCGTCATTGCTCCACTCTATATTAACACTATCCCACTCGAGGCCTTCAAGAACGCGAACATTCAACGGCTGAATCTCGAGCTGCTTTCGCACAAACTCCTGCCTTGCCTCAGGAAGCTTGGCAACCAACTCCTTAGGCGGCCCATACAAGTTGCCAAAGCAGTGCACGCCACAGGTACGGCAAAAAGGCGAGCCATTGAATTTACGGCCAAACTGATAGTCCAGAGCCTGGTCTTTACCGACGATACTAACCTCAGACTGATGAGGATACACACCGATGAAGCCATTCTAGGTCCCATTGCAGATTAGCACATTTTGAACACAATGAGTCGGATCATAAACTCTTCACATACGCGAACACATATACTACAATTATCTTCCTTGATCTGAACTTCGGACAGAGGCTTGCTCTTGAGCGCGATTTGAACGGCACCGCAGTCGCAGCCTCCGGTGTAGAGCGTGAGGTCATCTCCAGGAACCTCGGGCAGCGAACCGCAGAACTCAGCCGGCGCAGATGTGGATGCCTTCTCAACAAGGCTATCTTTGAGTTAGCTGTGTCTAGCCTCCTACCAGTCTTGCTTAACTCACCTCAGAGAGCCTGGATACGGCATATATGCATCTGGGGCACCGGTGGTTACGACGTTTCTCCCCTTAATGAACACATGTTGGAAATCAGAGACAAGCACCCGAAAGTTGATGCCTTTCTTCCCAGCTTGAACGCCGGAAGTGTGTCTTCCGAAGAGAGCAGTGCCGCAGACATTGCAGAACTGTCGTTTTGTTATCAGCCAGTCGTCTCAGACTACATTAGTGATGCTCCTTCTACCAAGGTAAACATACCTCATGCCTCAAAGCCTCGCTATCCGATCCGGTATAAGTTGTCAATGTTTCGCTAGAGCACCCCTTTGTGATTTTCAAGCTATCACCGGCATCATAGATCCAGACATGTCCCTTTTTTACACACAGCGAGCAGTCGCAAATCACCAAGGACGGATGCTCTGGCAATTGAACCTCGTATTGGTTCACGCCACAATGGCAGTTACCCTGAAAGGTTCTCAGTGCGGTCTCCATGGCGTTTCGACTACAATGGCTATGGGATGCGCGCCGGTGAGTAAAGCTCAGGGTTTCAGGGTGTGCTGAGACATCAGCATAATCCAAGATAAAGAAGCAAGGTCCTTATGAAATCAGAAAGCAAAGATTTAGATTCACCATAAGCAGGCAGCAACCGACAACTTCCTGCTTACGTGGACGGCTGTCGGCACAGCTGTTCATGTCCTACTATGCCCGATTCATCGCTTGCCCCGCACTTGCAGGATTGCATCTTATGCATCACGGTGGCACGAGACTCACTTATCTAAGTCGGCGTGAACACTTGAGGTTCAAATGCGATCGAAAGCAGCGCCGCTAGAGCAGTAATTATCACGGAGAATATCAAGGAGTCCTCTGAACCAAATCTTGACCGGGACGCGCCGCGAGGATGGAGAGTCGACTCCGGCTGTGGCGCATGATGTAGGTGCATTTGTGTACAGCGTGGGCGTCAGGGTAAGCCTCGAATAACTACCGGGGCTAGGTCTAGACCACTACAGGTCGCTAGTCCCCGCAGCCCCCTCGTAGGGCTAAGTCTAGCATGACGAGCATGAATTCATGCATTTGACGTTTAAGGCTTGATGTAACTGAGTTGGATAGATCTACGAGAATGGCTGGACGAGTCAACGGGAATGAGTGTGACGATTGAGGAGTTGGTAGCAGGCAGTGTGTTGATTATCATCGAATCGATGGAGCAACTTGGGATGATGTTCCGCATCCCCAACGACGCTGCAGACTGTTGTCTTGATCAGTGAAACGACAAGATGCCTTCACAATTGTCCAGGTGTTTGAGCACTTGAAGAAACCACCTATGCATTTGGTTCAATAATGTAACGAAAGGTTCGAATATGCCATAAAGCAGTGACGGTAGCGCAAGCCGTGGGCTGGCTCCGGCGACCTCCGGGCCCCCGGCGCTTCCCCGGAGAAGTGGGCCTACCCCGGCGTACTTCCGGCTGTTGTTGACAAACGATCGAAGGTACCGCACACGTCACCACCTTGATCAACTTGAAAGTATGCCACCATGATTGTTTGGACGAGTAAGGTTCAATCCACGTGGCTTACGCACCCTTGTGAGTTACATGTGCTCATTGATTCGGGGGACTGACGGGGTTTGGGTGGCTACGGGGTCTGGTTGATCGATGACGTATCAATCCCCGAAGAATCATAGTATCATCATCATATTAATCTCTGACAGCCCTGCGTTTCTATCCAAGGTTTCCTATTAGGAAGCGAAATAATGATCCTTCTACCTTACCGGGAGTAGCAGAGGGGTATATACCGTAGCTGTATTTGCAACTGTTATACAATTGTCAATTACTATTACGGAGTTAGTAGGGGTAACTTACAAAATAACCGTTATAGTAGCTAACAGCCATTATCGAGCGTTATCGAGCGTTACTAAGGGTTAGGGGTCCGTATGTATATTTAGCTAGCGGGACCCGGCTTATATACGTATACGATTTCTAATACTAGTATATACTACTTATATTCGCTAGGTACTTACTAATATACCTATATACCTACCTAGCCTACCCACCCCGGCTCCGACACCCCCGTTAACTATTAAATCAAACCACTAAGTTAAACTACTAAAAAAATCATTACCACATTAATTATAACCTAAGTCTAATACCCTTAAGTTCTAGTAACGGAGTTAAGTATTAGGGAAGTCTAATACTAACGGGGTTAGGTAAATAGTTATATTAGCGGACTTAGTAATATAGTAATACTAGTACTATATAAGCTATACGAGCTACTATAATATTATTATATAGCGGGTAGTATAGACTATTTATATAGCGTACTAAGATCTATATTAATAATATTAGTCGTACTAAGTATAAAAATAAGGCTTTTAATAAGTATCTTATATTAGACCTAACCGTCTTTTCGTATAGGTAATACGCAGGCGTATATCTATTATTAAATAATTATAAACGGGTTAATAAATTATTTACGTAAGTTTAGTAGTTACGTTATTAATACGTAATAAGATATTTAAATATAAAGGTATATAAACTAAGTTAAATTAAGATTTCGGACATCGTAATAATATTTACCCTAGTATTTTAATAAGTAACTAATAGCCGACGATAATATAATACTTAATACTAACCTTATAACTATAATAAAAACTAAATTTCTCTTAAGAATACGATATAAATATTTAGAAAGTACCGCATTATCTATATAAAGAGTTAGTAGTAATATCCTCTTTAATAAATAGTAAGTAAATAGACCTTACTACCGACCGGCCCGATTACGACGACGATATTAAAACCATTTTACTTACTAATCGACTTAGATAACTATATTACGGATAAGTATAATATAAAGCTTTTCGGCCTTTATAAAATTAATATTAATAATAATAGGGGCGTAGGTTTTATAAACAACCTTATAAAAGCTAAGGATATCGTTAACTTTATTTAATACTTCGACTAGCGTAATAATAATAAACATACGCCGCTCTAAATATAGTAGCTTATAAATAAAAATATAATTAACGTAACTAATATAATTACTATTATTATTATAATACTTAATATAGTTACCTCTCGTAAAGATATATTATTAGAAATCCCTAGTATTAAGTAATATCGTTAGTATATAATACTATTATTAAATATTATAATATTTAAGATCTATTATTTTATAATAATATTCTATTAATATACTATATACATAAGTCTTAAATAATTCTCTTATTATTAAGAAATAACGGAATAAGACTTAAGAATCTTTATTTATATATTATATCCCCTTATATAGTATAATTAATAGATATTATTACTAATAGAATGCTTATCATATTAATAGTATTATCTTTACCCTAATAGTATTACTTAGCCTATCCTACGGCTTAAGAGTATTATTAAAAATATGGGAATATACCTATTTATAAAGCTAAAGTAGTTAGCTTATTAGATAGCCCATAGTCCGAATACGTAATACTCCTCTTAAGTATACTATACGTACGCCTTATGGAGGGCCCTTTTAAATATATTAGTTATTATACGCTCCTTAGAGAGTAGTAATTAGCCCTTATTAATAGGGTACGTTAGGCCCTTAAACTAAACTTAACTAATAACTATCGTACGTCTATAACTAGCGTTTATATTAATAAAAATATCTAACTCAAAGTCTAGAGGGTTATCCTCTACTTAAATATTTTTTAAATTAGTTCGTAAAAGGATATTATTAAAGAGCGTTAAGTATTTATTATATATATAATTAACTTACTTAGTTAAGTTACTATTATTAATAAAAGTATTATATAGAATTATTTAAATAGTAATTTATATATTAATCTTAGCTAGTAGCGTCTTCTTAATATTAATACCGTAATTAGTCTCGTATACCTTCTACTTAAACTATTTATTAATAAGTTAGTAATTAATAATAGCAATATATAATATAGAGCTTATTTATATTAATTCTCTCTTATTAGTATATTAACGTTAACTAATAAAGTATACTTATTCGCAATAGCTTTATAGTATATACCTATATAAACGTTAAGCCGTATTATATTATAAGTATACTACGTAGCTCTCTTAGGGGTAGTAATATTAGTCGCATCCTCGGTTAATAAAAGAGGTATATTATTAATAATAAATAATACTTAAGTAGTATTATAACGAGGTACTAAAAGCGGTATTATTAATATATAATTATTAGTAAACTAATTACTAAGACTAGTAGTACTCTAAGCTCTAGGGTTATTAAAGATAGATTATAAAGCGAACTAATAAAACTACTAATATATACGACGGGTATTAATAATAATATAGAATATATTATCCCTATCTAACTACGATAGCTTTAGCCCGACTAATACGCTATTCGACTTCGTAAGTATTATAAATACTCTTATAATAAAATTAATAATAGTACTATTTACGTTAGTATCGAGCTTTTAATACGCTATTACGAAGAACTTTAGGTAGATATAGCTAAGCTTAAGCTATTTACGTAGTAATCTAGGGATAATAATAGATTATTAAGTATTTACTATAAGTAAATAGCTTCGTAAGTAGTAAATTAGGGATTATAGACGTTCCTAGCTAAGTAAGAATAGCTATATACGAAATATATATATATACTCTTTCTTAGTAATCTCGGTTAGAATACTATCGATTAATAGACTATATATTAGCTCTAATAGACCCTAGTATTTAGAATAAGCTAGATCCGGTAGTTTAGATATAATAAGGTCTAGAGCTAGTATAATAATAAGTAATATTAGTTCCTTTTTATTAAACCCCTATATAATACTATATTACTTATAGTCTATCGCTTTATAAAGAGTATTTATACTATTTTTTATAGCCTAGTATTAATAATAATAGCGACTATATATAACGATATTAAAGTTAAGAATAGTATTCGGATTACCTAACTTAGTAACGTGCTTATTAATATAATAAAACTAATAGAACTTATAGGCCCGGGGACCTCTAAAGCTACTATTCTTATCCTATTATAATATATTACCGATATAATAAATTGTTAAAATATATATAATATAAGTCTCCTTATTAATATATACCCCTTTAATACTACTATCGAGCTTATTTAGAGACTAAAAAGCTTTAATTATATTATTAAAGTTCGACCTATATAAACTAAGGGTAAGAGGGAAAATATTAGCTTAGTAAAAACAGTCTTAGGTAGGTAAGGCTACTATAATAGTATAAACGCTAATTAAAGAACGATATAAGTTTTAATAAATACTAAAACTATTAATAAAATATATAATTAAATAGCTAAGGATATTACCCTTATTTTATATTTCGAATATATCGTAGCTGTATGTCTTAATTTTAAGCTTAGTATAAATAGGGTATATATAATATAAAGGAATAAAGTTAGTAAACTTATAATACTAAATATAATAGATAATAACATCGTACTTAAGTAATAATAGGCGCTAGCTATACTTTTAAAAAGTGGCCTTCGATATTATAATCTTCTTTTTAAGCTATAAACTAAGATTTTATAATATCTCGCTTAAAAAGTAATTATAAGCGACGATATTTATTAATAAGGAAATTATATATTCCTTAAGGATATATATAACTTTATTAAATAAGATAAGCTTATTTAAATATTAAAATAATACGATAGTAAGCTTAGGTTAATTAATAAGGGGGTACTTTAGTAAAACTCTATTATAATACTAATTAATTAAGTAAAAAGCCTCTTAGATTTAAATAGTAATACTGCTACTTAACGTAATATAAAAGTTAGCCCTTATATTATAACCGATACTAAATATATAACTTAAATAGTACTTCTTAAGCTCCGACTAATATATAAACTAATAAATACAGTCGTTATAAGTATAATAATATAATATAAAGTCTAAAAGTAGTACTATGTCGCGCTCCTCGTTATTAATAATAATATAAGCGAATTTACCTAACGTTA